AGGATTAGTTTGCATATATGTATATAGGCAACGTTAACCTGTCCAGAATGTTGTAGAGTCGTTTAGATCAATATATTTTAAAAGCTTACACAGATTTGTATTTATTTGTATATTTGTATATGATATAGTTATTATTTTATTGCAGAAGCACTAAATATATGTAAAATTAATTGGATTATTTTTTGAAGTTTTTTAAAGTTTTCTATAAACTTAACTAAGAGCATTGTGGTCTGAGTGCGAGAGACGTACAATTAAAAATTAATGAATACCGCCACTTTAAAATATAACTAGCAAACAGAGGGGGTTGAGCTGATTAATGCCATCATAGCTTCAACGAAGATAATAAAAGGAGAATAGTAAGAAGAAAATTGTCTTACCTCGAGCAGGTGAAAACCACTCAGAATGACTAAGAGCAAATATTAATCTTTTCGGAATACCACAATATTATCACGGCGCGTTGCGAATGTCTTGAGACGGCTGCCGTGCAAAAGACTGTTGAAAATGCAATAAGAGAAAGTAAGCGAAATAAATTTCAGCAAAGAAAGAAAAAATTTAATATAAACAAGAAAAGACGTTAACTTCGGCTATAATCTTCTTCACATGTGTACTTTTTTGAGCATAAAAGGGTATTGCAAAGATATATTTTTATTCTGATTTGGATAGGTTAATTTGGATAGCAGCTATAAGCTAATGTAATCCGATCTGAACAAAATCGTAGCAATGCCTTGCATAATAATCTCTGCTAAATTTCGTGAAGATATCTCGTCAAATACACAGCTTTCCATAAAAGCACTTGATTCCGATCGTTCAGTTTGTATGGCAGCTACATATTGTGCATGTCCGATATCGACAGTTCCGACAAATAAGCAGTTCCTTGATGAGAAAAGGGCGTGTGCAAAATTTAAGACCAATATATCAAAAACTGAGGAACTAGTTCGCGTATATACAAACGTACAAACATATGGACAAGGCTAAATCAACTCATTTCATTGCGCTGTTCATTTATATAAATACTTTATAAGATATCCGAAGTTTTCTTTTGTGTGTTACAAATATTATGGAAAATTTAATATACTCTGTTCAGGGTATAAAAACTTAGTTGGGTAATTATAGTTAAAGGCAAAGTCTTCTATCAGTCAATCAGTGGTAAGGATATAGTCTTTAATGTTTTGCCTAAGAATTTGAGCAATTTCATTTGCAAATGATACTTCTGTAGTCGTTAATTGTTTAAACATTCAGCATATGAATAAGACATCAGACTTAATGAGTTCATTCTAGCCAATCAACACTCAATGATTCATGGCTTTGTAAACTGACCACTGCTGTTTTAATTTTATAAAAAAATATTCTGTATATTTGCGTATGTGTTCATAAATACATATTTATATTTACAAAAAAGCACCTTTAATTAACAAGAAGTAATAATAAGCCAACTTTGATTTAATTTTGCTGCAAGACTTAAAATCGCAGTAATTTTAAGTATTTTATTACATAACTACAATCCAAGTTTTGATAACTAAACTAGTTCGAATAGTTGTGTCATTCACTTTGACGACTGTAACACACTTCCGTTCAAGACAGATGGCATTATTCTTTAAGTTTTGCAATTCTTTTTCATAGCAATAAAAATACTGAGAAGAAGAAACATAAAAACGAGAACATAGGTATTTTTTATTTTGTAATCGAAAAGAAACGGCGACAGAAATACTACGAGTGCGCTACTACAATCGATAAGGATCGAGTTCAATTGGAATGTAGCAACTTTGTTATGTGTTAGCAAATGCAATGTACAGAAGAAAATGGGAAATGAAATATAATTTTAAACGCAAAACTTACGGTTTTATATTGGCAATGTAAAGTTGTTTAAAGTAAAAGTGAAATATTGATATATTTTAAAGTCAAAGCCATTAAAAAAGCAGCGCGTAAACTGGTTGCATTAAATGATCAAAGATTAAACTATTTAAACAATGTGTACATATGGAAACTTACTTACCTGCTTAAATAAGAAAGCGTTAACAATCCAAATAAGAATAGTTTTATTTCCATCGATATATCAAATAGCATATATCGATTTTTGCTAAACACAATATAAGATATTCATCTGCAGCTTGTTGACAATGTCAAATGGAAAAGTTGGTTAGACTCCTTTATTGGTCGCCGCACACTCTCGCTTCAGCGCTTCAAACCGCGCAAAACCAAGTAAAAGCTTTGATTAAAAGTCTCTCCTCTTGGATATTTCTAATTACTTTCTTTGAACACCTAACGTTAAGCATGCAATCAGAGCTTTTAATCAGCTTCAAGCTATTGAAAAACAGTGAAACTCCCTCGATAATTAAGCACACCATTACCAACACACATTTTATTGGTGTTAAGAAAAATATTCTTAGTCATTGCAGCAATTAGGATCGAAAGTTCACTTTTAATGGAAATGCTACACTAATTGAAATTAATCCATCAACTATGCAGTCGAATATATTTACCAACACCTCAATATCTCGTTAGTATATATGTATGTCTAATTTCTACTTTATTTAAGCGTATATGTATTTGTGTCAATCACTGCGCCATTCATCAATAATCAACTGTGGTTGTAGATTTGTATAGCAACGTGCTAATTGAAGCAATTATTCAAAGATGCACTCAATTGCAGTTGCATCCATTGGTAGGCAACTGAGTGCCCACTAGGAATATGTAAACTAAACAAATGAATAAATGAAAAAATTAAGCCAAAAAGGCAGATCACCAGTGGAAGATGGAACTTTTATACAAAGAAGTAATTATTGGCATGATATATGAACTATGAAAGATTAGCACACATTTTTTATGAATACTTGTAGTCAACAAATATTGTTTAAGCTGCTTAAATATTTCCATGTTCATTTTTACAAAAATTATTTAGGAGCTTTTGCTAGTAACAATATTCAATGAACTAGTGGCCGGAGGACTGCTGATGAAGGTTTTTCTTTTATCAGTGTGAGTCAAATATGGAAATTTGGTTAGGCAGTCATAGCCATTCTTTTATAGCTTTATATTTTCAAAGAATTCTCGTGACAACAACTGAACACTGCCTTAATTAACTAAGTAACAGTAGCACAAATGTTTGAAACCAGTAAAAAACAAGACCTTTACCATGAATTTACCGGCCGATAACGATTTGCTGCCACTAATTAGTTTTGTTTCAATATGGTACAGTTATACTCTTTTGGCTCAAATCCAAACACATACAGACACTTTTTAGTCATAGGGATCCACTCAGGGATTCAACTTAAAAACCAAAAAGATTTTGAAGCACAAAAATTTTAGCGAATATTTTTTATAAGAAACTTGTATAGTACTTTAATATTTTCGTTTTATTCCCTAAAAATGCACGCTTAGATCATAAGTTAACATTTATAGAATAGCGCATTAAATCCGCAAAATTGAAAGACTCCATTTTCACTCTTTTCAAAATCCTCTATCATACAAGTTAAAACATCGAAAATTCCTTTATAACACAGCGTTAGCGGTAACGGTATATAATCCACAGTTGCTACTTATATAGTGCACGAAAAGGTTGCACTAAAATTACTGTTGCTATTTATACCGCCTAGCTGCAGAGTTAATTAATGAGCTGATTGAATTGTTTGCACCTGTCCTTCAGGCTACATTAAAAGCTTTATTCCCACTTTTTCCGCACTCACACTAAATGCACGTTAACTACTTTTGGTCCATTCACAAAACTGATTTTGTATTCAGCGAATCAACTCATCGGCTATAGTTTATTTGCTTTACCAATGGCTACACACATACTTTCGGTAAGAGTACAATGCAAAGCATCATTAATTTTGCGCTGCATTGTTTTACCATAAAACCTGCTAACTGTTGCGAAACGCTATTGAGTTTTAAGTTTGGTGTGCTTGCTATTCCTGTACAGAGTTTCTCCCGGTGAGCTTATGCCCGTGATTAATGGCTAGCTATGTAGTAATGACGCTAATTGTAGAGCACGTCAATGTGAATTAATATCTATTAGTACATATATACACACATTCATGCATAAAAATATACACATATATATGCATACATGATTTCGATAGAGTAACAGGAAATTACGTTATTAATTTCATGTAAATACTAGCACTTGCCACTAAAGCGCTAATTGTTACTCATACCACACGTCGTACAGTTATATATTCGTTTGGCATACTCGTGCATGAGTTTAAATAAAGTTGTGAATTAGAGTTTTTGAGCAATTGTAAGAAAAAAGTTTGAAAAAAATATTATTCACTTTTAGGCAAAGTTTATATAAATGAACACTGCTAATTGAGGACTATGCACTATATACTGAGTTAGCCTAACTAAGCAAATAATTATTAAAGAACTAAAATTTGTTTAAAATATGGTTTGCATTCATAGTTTATAGACCGAACAAATATTCGTATTCACAGTACCACTGACTATCAATTATGTAATTTTAGTTAGTAATGCTTCTGTTGTAATAAGAGCGAAGAGCGAAAATTTTTTTAACTTTGCTAAGAGTTAAGAATGGCTGAGTTGTGGTGTAGCCAACTGTAATAAATAGTACTGCCACCTAATTGACAATATATTACTGTGATAAGCAGAAAGATGGTGATTCATCGTAGCAGAACGATTATATAAAATGGCAATAGGCAAGTCGAATCAACGCTTAAATACCCATGATCTCTCAATTTGCACTCTTAGTCACGAGGTCAAATATCAAGAACTACTCGAATGGTTAGCATAATTACAAAAGCTTAATACACTTGGCAGTAATCACCGAACTTTTGAAGGGCCCAATCGATGGTCCAGAAACGTAAATGTAATGGAAGTCTGGCCACGTGCCTTACTTCATATTAGAAACACTTTATTTAACAAATCTTAAATAGAATCCATTGAAATTGAAAATATTATAAGTATGCTTTATACATATTTAAATTTTATTTATTTTTCTCAACAAATGCAACACATTTTTAATTATACAACATATTTGATTTTTTATGCAGTTGCATCACGTGACGCTTCTGGCAGTAGCAGCAGCAGCAGCAGCGGATCAAGTAACAATGCTGGCAGTGGTAGTGGCAGTAGTGGTGGACCAAATAAATATCCAGTGCTAGTATTTGTACATGGTGAATCCTATGAATGGAATAGCGGCAATCCATATGATGGCTCCGTGCTGGCGAGCTTTGGACAAATACTTGTCGTTACAATAAATTATCGACTGGGCATACTAGGTACGTACATATATGGCATAATAATATTATATTATATACAATGAAGGTATTTTCGCTCACTTGTTCTAAAGTTTAAACAATGATGTACAACTAGTGCGCTAGAATTGTTAGAGTGCAAAATTAACTCTGGGCTAGTGTGGTTCTACTAGGCTTCTACTTTTAGAAAATAATTAAGTATTGGTCATCTATATGGTAGAGTTCACAGACGACAGTGAATTGTTAGCGCATTACTTTTCGCTTGCCCAAACAGCAGACTGTTGAACCGAGATAGCATTTAACACTTTCAATGCTCTAAAGTAATGCAAGGAAATGACACCAAGTAATGCAAGGAAACTTAGAAAAAAAATTTTGATTCAGCTATTTGCTGAATGGTGTTTAGTTGGGGCATCCTTAGATGGCTTGAGTCAATATATTGTAAAGCCTTTATGCAATGCCAACAGCACTAGGAACTAATATTCGCTACGACTGTAGTTTAGTATGGAAAATCAAACATGCAAATTTTTAATGAAAACCAAGTAGAACAGCATGCCTTTGAGCGCCACTTTTAATTTACTTAGCAATTTTATTTAAATATAAAAACTATCTGCAAAACTGTTACCTAACTCCCCTCTATCTCTGTGAGCATATAATATTAATTTGCAGCAGTTTTCGGAAACAAAAGGCAATAAGAATAATATAAAAGGAATTTCACAATTTCAGCAGAGACCGCCAATAACACATTTTTTTTTCTTTACATATATGTACATGCTAATGTGTATTTTAAGTGCGCCTGCTCTGTGTGGCACTTAAAATTTTATGCAAATATATGTATGTATATGCAACGCGCACTTTATTAAAAAGCACAATTAGCGCCCAGATTGCAATGACACAGTGGAGCGGTGTTAATGTAGCTACACACTTACACATGCACATATACTCGTAGAGCTGCACTTTAGCACACGCTTGAAAAATAAACTTTTACTACTATTTAGCATAGTACGTAGCTTTACGTGATATTCATTTGTTTCCTAATTTGCATATGAAATTTGCTTTCCAGTAACCTCACGAACTAGAAAAAAGAAAAACCGTTTTCCACGCTCGAATCGTATGCAAATGCGTTTGTGTGGAGGTGTGTGTGTACATTTTTGTGGCGGTGCGTTGGTTATTAGGTGCTGGTGTTGGAGTTGGTTATGTTGCATTGCCGCAGTTGTGGCTGCTGTTAGTGTTTAGCTGCTATGGAATTTATAAATGCAACTTTTGCTTTTATGAATTTTTCATGAGGCACCCGCACCCGCACCCGCATCTACACACCGACATACATGCATACGGGCAGTCAACTAAGCAATCCAATGCGATGATTCGTTTGCACAGCATAGCAATGCAAATTGTTTCCGCCCACTATGCGCACAAATGCGAATGTTGGCTATAAAATTAAATGAAATTTTTCATTCAAAAATTCAACTAAATTTCGAGTTTAGAAGGCTGATAGCGGCGTCAATGTTGGTGGCAAAAAGGCGAGCTGGCGGTGCTAAGCTGCAGCGTGGCTAGTTGTTAGTATTATTTTACTCACACTGAGTGCCCACTAGCGCATTTGACGCAGCGCAAGTGCATACAGAAGGCAATGCACTTGCTACTAAATGCAACTGCACGAACTCGAACTCAAATACCGACGCGCGACTATGCGTTGCAAATAAATGCGAGAAACAATGTCATCACATATAGGGTGCGAATAGTTTGGAGGAATATAAAAAAGTTGGGTATAGTAATAGAAGCGGCATTACCGAAATCTCGCTTTTTGGGAACTTTTAAACAATAATTTTGATTTGTACAACCAAATTGATTTCGTTATTTTTGCTTAACTGTCAGCAAGTTATTAAAATTATTTCTGCTTAAATGAAAAGAAACCGAAAACAACATTTAATGATAGCTGATATTCCAAAATAACTATGATTTTATAAAGTTATCTATGTAATAGGGGCTTCGAATTGACTTACTACATCATCATATTTGAATTTTACTACACCTTTATATATTTAAAATATTAAACCAAACTTCTTTAAGTAAATAAAACCACTTAAACTTTTTTTATCGGCATTATAACGGAAATATTTACTTATAATTGTGACTTGTGTGTATGACTTGGTTCTAACAGTTTTATCTTATTTCTAAGGTGAATTTCTTATTATTATTCTTACAAAAAATTCTACCAACGACAGTTTTTGTAATGTAGAAGACAATTTTTTGTTTGTCTGAACCTTCTGCTCTAAAAGACGATTATATAACTTCTCTGGACTATAGAGAGCACAAGCTCTTTGTTTTCAATTTAAACCGTGCTAAAAATTTTTTCTCTTCCTATGTATATAATATGGAATTTTTTGATATTTCGTATTAAGCACGAAATGTACAACATTTAAAAAGTGATATTCAATTACAAAATTTTCCGCTATAAAAAAAGCTCTTAGTGATTTTTCCACAAAAACATTCCTTTAAAAGTTATACACAGTCAACATTGTAAATCAAAAGTACTGAGCATTCATACAAGTGCTTTACGAACATATCTGTTGTGTTGCTCATACGACATGGTGTACTGTATGAATACA